TTATGATTTTGTTATCATCCATTTTTAAAACTTTGCTTATGTTTATAGAGGGCATGGAATCCTATGTTAAACTGAAGAAGCCCTGGAAAATATAATGAAAAGTTTGGTTTCGAAGATTCCCTTTCATCTCTTTCAAGGTGTTGTAAGTTAGCCTCACCGAAATCTTAGGGAAGATTGCTTTAAAGTCGTGGCAATAGAGTTATACCGATTTATCGAGGCTGCGGGATTTTTCACCGAAATATGCTTGACTCAAATCGAAACTCATAATCAAGAGGCGAACTTTTTTAGGTTTATGATAACTCTGATATACAAACTCTTTCTAGCAAAATTTAAATATGCAATTAATTAATGACCCAAGTCGCTTTAGGTGCCTTGAGGTGATATTGAATTGCGTGATACTAATTGTGCTGAATAATACAAATTTGCCTGATCCACTATAAATCAATGTGAATTGTGAGGGTTCTAGCTTACCTATGATGGCATGCTAAAGTTGCCACTTGACGCTCATGATCCAGAAATACTTTTGGGAAATAAAACAAAATGAGATCTATTACATATTTCACCTTAAATTATCTGTGGGGAATCGTGTTCTAAATCAAGACTTACCAATACTGTATAGCCATACAAAGTAATCAACTGGAATTGTCTGCTTGCCTTCAAGGTATTTTTACTGTCAAAAACGTTCATAGTTATACTTATTCTTCATCATTGTTGAACAGATGGTCTGAAATTACACACCATACTATGGGGTATGTTACTCTCCCAAAGGATGCTCACTTTTCACTGCTTTATTTATGGTCTTGACCCTTGATATCTCAACTATCCTTTGGAATGACTTATAACATCTACCCACATTTCAAAGATTATACAAAAAGCCAGGCAAACATTGTTCGTCTTTGTGAGGGCAATTCATATCATGGTCGTAAAAACCTCCAATATAAATCCTTAAAATTAATTTATTTGAAGTTATTAACTTCTCGCAAACTGCTCTAATCCACAATGACAATCTCGGAGGAAAAGTTACTTGAAATTCATTATGGTCGTAAGGCCAATTCTTTTCATTGTGGAAAAATGCAACTATCGGCCTTTCAACCCTGTATGCGATACAGGGTGAATTCACTTCTTATTCACTACACATATTTCATCCTTTTATGCGATTCCATGCATAGGAAAGCCCCCTTATGCTAATCATGTGGCTATGGGATAATGAATTAGATGTTTGCGGACATTTTGAGGGGACTTCTGCTAAATAAGAATTTCTCACTTAAAACAAATTTCTATGATTCATAGACGCTAATGCCTTAATCAATCAAGATTATTACAATTTTGCCAAGTATGGTTAACCCACTAAGCGACATTATAATGAGGAGCCACTTAAAGTTAAATACGCAAATAATATTAATATAATAAGCAAAATTAATAAAATGGAGCAAGAATTATCTGTGCTTATTAGATAGGAATAGGATGAATACCATTGAATATAATTTTGATTCAAAGCGAAACATGCTAGTAGGTGACTTTTACATATTTACATGTTCGAATGTACAGAATATAAAAAGGCCTCATTGCAAACAAGTGTATCAATATAGACTTACTGCCCTTTCGGATGAAAGTGTTTAATGAAGAGGTTCGAACGTCGATCCCACCAGAAGACAATGACGAATTCCTCTTTACCATCTGTTGATTGGCTTTAATGGAATATTCTTTTTGACGCTGTTTCTAAAGCAATGTCCTTTGATTCCGGGGAAATCGTGCTAAGCTTTCGTCCGTCGTATGATGGGCTCCAACAGAACATGGCATCATTCTTACAAGCATATTCAATCTGAGTCAAGAAAACTCATCAAATCATTCGTAAAATACTCTATATTCTATATCTGATCTCCTTGATAAGGTATAAAGTGATTTGGTTAGTTCCAGTCATGTGTCAACCTCGGAGCATGTGAATGTGTATGTGCCTTCATGTTTTCGCATACATACGAAACCAGCAGTGATAACTCAAGAGCTCAGACATAGAGTATATATATAGCATTTTAGGAATGCGACAGTGAGTTTTCTTGACTCGTCAGCTTGAATATCGTCATAAGAATTATATTCTGCTCTAATAATGTCCATCATACGACGGAAGATAGCTTAGCACATTTTAACCGGAATCGAAGGATATTACCTAAGAAACAGCGTCAACAAGAATGCTCAAATAAAGTCAATCGATAGCTGGTCAAGAGGAAGTCTTCATCGTTTTCTGGTGGGATCGACTGTGAATCTCTTCAGCAAACACTTTCACTCGAAATGCAAGTGAACTTAACAACAATGAAATAAGAGATTCCTCGAAATTCAACATATATCAAGTGGTTTGATTGAGACTAGACTTAAAAAAAGTATAGACAAATTACATCACTCAATTAGAACCAAAATAAGCACTAGACAATCTTTTTCTCTGCAATTTTCAGAAGAACACATTATCAAATTACAAACTATAGCAGAAATTCCGGTGGAAAGGATGCATAAGATTCACAGATGCCAAAATGATAAAAATTAAGGAATTTAGGTATTAAAATCAGCTCAAGGAATAGTATAAAAAATATGGATGTAGCTAAACTTACTGCTATTTGTTCTAGCAAAAATAAAGTAATTAATTTATCCAGTATACCTATATATCCTAGTGCTAAGCTCCTCTTGGAAAGGGGTCTAAACTATGCTTTACAAATTAGCAAAATCATTCTATAGATATATTGGTTAAATTAATTAACTTAATAGATAATCTGCCAGAAGGGGCTAGGGATAGTATAAAAAGTGAAGTCATTCCTCATTTTGACAAGGTAATTATTTCATAGAAATTTTATGACTTGAATAAGACATAGGTATTTTCACCAAAATTCTCTTTTTACTTTGAAGACAAATGAAGGTGGTGAAGCGATCATCATGGATAGGTTAAGTTATATATAAAAAATATTGGTTCAGTTAAATTACTTAGAATCATACAGACTTTTAGAGGAGTATCCCACAGAGAATCTTAAGGCCAGACTTAGCGAATCGTTTAACGTTTGTGTATGCAAAGAAGAAATTGGGAAGTGAAAAATGAATTCATTTTTTCAATAGAATGCTAAGGCACCTTCCGCTTATGACCTTCCAAAAATACTCTAGGAGGGAGTTTCTTTAAGATTGATTGTTAATAATAAGGGAACTGAGTATTTCATGATTCTTATGCAGATAATTAAGGAAAGTGGTTGAGTATTGGAAATATTCAGTGAAGAATTCCTGTGAATTTATTAGATTGATAGATCACCAGAGTATTAGAGAGGAGCATCTTCTGGTGAATTTCGATGTGGTATCAATGTATACTAATATCCCAGTTTATAAGACTGTTAAAACACTAGCACTTAGCCTAGATGAACACCCAGAAATTATTAAGGAAACAAATCTTAGCATAGTTCAATCTTGAGGCTTCTTAAACTAAACATGAGTAGCACATATTTCACCTTTAATGAGAAGGTTTATGAACGGGTACTAGGCTTAGCAATGAGATGTTGGTTGGATTCCATTTTAGCGAATAATTACATGGAAAGAATGGAGGAATTCTTCATGAAAGGGGTAAGATTGAAACCCAAACTATTAGTTAGATATACGGATAACTTCTTTGCCATATGGCAGCATGGTAAGGATAGTTTGTTCCTAATTTACCAGATTGATTGCATTGTTATGTTGACAATGGAGATAGAGAAGGACAATAATTTAGCTAAGTGTGTTGACCTCGTTGTCGCAACTTGGACATGTTGTTAGGGAGACTTAGTAGAACGCACCTAGTCCGAAGTTGTCTTCTATAGTAGTTGTCATGATTCTCAGCATCAGACAGTGGACTTAATACATGTATAAGAATGTACCAATTTCACTGTCTGATGCTGAAAATCATGACAACTACTATGGCAGACGATTTCGGACTAGGTGCGTTCTACTAAGTCGCCCTGACAACAAGACCAAGTTGAGACGAGGTCAACCCACTTCTATAAATCGAAAGGAGACTGCGACCATACCAGAGGCCACAATATCTTGGTCTTCATATCTTCAATAATTTAGCTATTTTGGATGTGTGGAATAAAAACGGTCTTCAGGTAAACTTCGACAATTTCTTTAATAGGCCCACTTTTAGAGAGAAATTTGACCCATTCTCCAGATCGGGTCATTATGAATTTAATGTACTCATGTGGTCACTTTTATGTGGAAGAGACTTGTCGTCCCATTCGGCAAGGGGTGGCTGAGCACAAAAGCGCCTGCAGAGGCTGTTGGCTTCAAAATTCTGAGCTTGCTGAGCACAGGGGAGAAACGGGACACGAGATTGAATGGCCTCGAAGGTCTCATTTTGCTGATTATGGTATGTCTGCGGCTAAACGTAAAATGAGAGAAGCTATCGAAATAAACCAAATAGGGAATTCATCGAATGTAAGGAATATCGGCAAGAAGTTAAGTAAAGACTACTTGTGCTTAATTAATAGATTTAACGGTAGATAGGGTATTGAGCCGCCTGCAAATAGGAGTCGACTCAACTAGTCTTTTCTTTTCTTTTCTTCATTTTAATCACGGTCACTTTTCTGTACTTTTTATTTCCCTCTTTTTCCATCTAATGAAAATCAAAAGCTCATCAATGTAACTAGACGTGAGTCCGACTTTGTGCAATCGGAGTGATGGTTAAAATATATACAGAGAGGGGTTGATGGTGGAAATCCAACCTTGATGGCCGAAAACATACGTAACTTCTGCCGTTCTAATTACTTTGAGCCATCACTGCTGGTTTCGTACATATCTAAATACATGCAGGCGCATACACATGCTGAGACAGACACACTCAAATGTTCCGAGGTTGATATATGATTTTAACTAACCAAATCACTTTATACCTCATCAGAGAGCTCAAATTTAGGGTATAGATACAATAGTTTAGGGATGAGCCAGTGAGTTTTATTGAATCTTTAACTTGAATATGGTTGTAAGGATGATACCCTGCTCTGATGATGTCCGTTATACGGCGGACGAAAGCTTGCCACGTTTTCACCGGAATCGAAAGAGATTACCTCGAAAAGAGCGTCAGCAAGAATGTTCCAGTTAAGCCAATCGACAGCTGGTCAAGAGGGATCCACTATCGTCTTCTAGTGGGATCGACCTTCGGACCTCCTTCACCAGGCACTTTCACTCGGAATGGAAGTAAGCTCAACGATTATGAAACAAGAGATTTCTCAAAACTCAACTTTTCCTCGCATTTCACTATATGCGCCTTTAGTCCCCCGAAGATGTTTAAAGTGAGGATGACTTATAGTACATTTTCCCATAATGAGATGAATAGGCCTCACAATTCCGTTGAATTTTATATACCCTAGCTTTACAAAATGTTTTCTTATCTATGGTGGACCGTAGCTTCGACCTCGCCTAGGTACCATCAGCCCCCATAACCGGTATTAAACTTGGATACGGCAACGAATAATTTAATCATATTACGACTACGCCAAACCGCTAAAAATGTCAGTAGGTTACGGGGAAGAATTGATAGACCTATCTTATCTGCATGCTTTTGGTCATCGACTTACATGCTTAAATCCTCTCAATTTCTCATTCCAACTTCTTTCTCCTACTCAGCTCATCATCACACATTCTTCTTATAAGGCTCTATCTGGAGCATTTCGTGATGCCCAATCAAATGAGCCAAATTCAGCTATGTATTATATTTCATTGCGTCATTCGATTCATTTCTACTTAGTGCATCTTCAAGTTTTGATATATTTTATCGTATATAAGAGTAAAAGCCATCTTAAATGGCCAAAATATGTGACTATGCTCCATAGTCGGAAAGTTTTATATTTATTAAAATGCTTAATAAAAGACGGGTCTTTAGCAAATTAAAAGAATTAATTAGGTAAGATTGCCTACCTCATTATTTGAGTAGAATTGCATAAATTTATCTATACATACAGAGAACATAAATTTCAGGTTAGTCAAAAGTTATATCATACTCATTTGTTAATACACCATGTTTTTGGCTTCCCTTGTATTTCGTTAGCTTTTATCTTGCGCTTTGACTTTCTTCTTTATAGAACTAGATCTCACTCTGACAGGCGAATATTTGAGCTTGCTTCCGGATGAATTCACCTCCCAATTTGCCAGAGTCCAGCTCATTGAAGATGAAGACGGCCTAATGCGCAAACCTCTGAAGGCGTATCTTGAAGAACGAACCAGTTTGTTTGAGGTGTGTTAATACAATTAATAACATTTTCTCGTTCCCTGATTAGGATGAAACGGATCCACAAAATAAGAGGCTTATTCACTCGATTGCTGATTAGGGGCATTCGAGGGCATCGGCTATTGTAGTATAATAAACCATTAAGATATAAAAAAGTACAAAATTCTATTGAAAAGTTAACTCTTCACTTTTGGAATAGAATTAAAGCTTAATGCATGTTATACTAGGAGACATGTATATTGTATTCACTTAAAATATCTGTATATTTGAAGTTTCTTTCTATATTTGGAAAAGAAAAAATAGCTCGTTTCCCTAGCTTTATACATATCCTTGGAATGGAAACATATGTCAGACAAAAACTTTAGGGCACCAATATAAATAAAAAATTTTGGAATATGTTTTCAAAACTTGTGAGTTTAAAATAGTATGTTAAATAAAAAAGGGGTTAAAATTCATTTATCTCAATGAATTTGTCTATATTTTAGCTCGACTCTTGTCTTAGTAGTTTTAGTAGCCGATGCTATCTTTCTCTATCCAATTCATGGGAAGATCAATTATTGACCATTCAAGGGCTGAAATGGCTCTTAGGCACTGGTAGAATAGCAATGAAGTGGCATATTCTGAGTTGCGATGGCGGTATTGAATCCTAGCATCAAGTCTTTAAAGCGAAAAATATCTCGTTTTGACCTAAATAAGATTGCCCTCTCGCAGGCATGTGCCAAGCCGCAAAGTGCAAGAAAGAAAGAATAAAACTAAACTAAGATGGGCTGAGTAGTACTAGCACGTACAACATAAGTCTCGAATATTGCACCCAATCCTTTTCATGCTTCTTAGAAGATTGAGTAAACGAAATCAGAAAACCTTTAGTAGGTTAGTATCGTAAAACTCGAGCAAAGGAGAATAAATTACCTTCAGGACTGTAGAATAATAGTCTTTAATATTTGTTCAGTTATGCAGCCACAGCAATATTCGATTTTCTTATAAGAAGGTTTTCGAGGTTACCATTAGATCTGATATAAGAGCTATATTCACCCTAATTTCGTTAAGGTAAGGAAGGGCTGGTAGTTGAATTTCCTCACAATCATATGAGTAGGCCTAAGGTTTCCATTGGATTTGATATAGTCCTGCTTCCCAAAACGTATTCTCATTCAGGGTGAACTGAAGCTTTTACCTCGCCTGGGCCACATCGCCAACCCCAACAAGACTCGAACCCAGGTTGTGATATTACAGCTCGTAGCGTTATGCTACACTGCTACGTGTGTACCATGGTCACAGGTAAAAAATGAGTTTGAAAGAATCCTGGGCCCCTCCTGTAGTACATTTATGTGGCGATGGAGCAAAGCTGTATTTGCTATAGCGATCGGCCATATTACTTATTTTCAATTTATAAGTAGGTTGTTGAGGCTACTCGTAGATTTTATATAAAAGCTGTATTCAATGAATTATACTAGTAGTCTTAAAAGCAAATTATAAACTGTAAATAAGTATTATAATCGAATTCTATGGCAAATATAACTTTGCTACATCG